CTCACTTACTTACTCTTTCCTGCTCCTCCTACCTCTCATCAGTCTTGTATAGACTGCTGTGTACGGGACAGAACTCTTGAAATTACACCGCATGAAAAGTAAATATGCTCCTCAGTACGTGGTGATGTAACTCCCGCCAACATGAGCTACCCGATATAATATTCCATCAGAATATTCTCATATATATTCAGTGTATATAAGCATACCATGACGTTATTTTGTAAGTAGTCAGCGATTCACACCAAGCTTTAAAACTTGTGTTCTGTAATCTGTCACTAATCAGCTCACTTTGCCTTTGTTAATGTTGTCCGTGGTTGTGTCGAGGAGAAGTGACGAGTTGGCCAGGGTAGTGTTGTTGCACTCGAGAGCAGTACAGCAAGGCTTCCTCTCTTGAACTGCTGTAATTCTACTATTAGATCATCGATTGACTCACTCTAGCTCTCTAGCTGTTAAAACAAGTGCAATGTTGTGTTATGGTCTGCTAAAGTTAAGGGCGTGCTCGTTTATAAGTTAAACTGTTTCTGCCCTAATATTTTTATGTTTTTAATTTTATAGTTCAAAGTAACCATTTTGCCATTGGGGATTCGGGGAAATCGTTTCTGCTTCCGTCACAAGTTTCTACCTTCTCTAAGTTTTGCAATTTAATTTCGCATAAACCAGAAATTGAAGACCACTTAACAACCATGTCTTTAAGAGTTTAGGATGCCCTTTCAGAACATGATCATCAACCCATAACCACATTAGTATGACACGTGCTGCTAATATAGCTATTTATATTGAGCTATATCTGGTCTTCCCAGTAGAAAGTGGAACGATTATTCCCTGGCTGCATTGGCCGCACCACGTGCTCCAGCCGCTAGTTCTGCACCTTTCTTTGTTCCGACCTTAATGAATATTTTTATTTTAATGTGTATACAGCTTCCATATGCCGTTGAATATAACATCTAATATCATGTAGAGTCAATTTTGCATAAAAAATAATAATTCGAGTATTGAGAAGCTGCAGTAACATGAATTGGGCGTCAACCATTAGCGGAATTGATTACATAATGACACCTAATTGCTCCTAGTTAGCCGCTGGGTATGTGGCTAATCCAACAGATTGGGCAAACTTAATTTCAAATGAGGAGATCCTATCCAATCTTTTATAGCAGGCAGATGAATCATGATGGTGTGTGCTCTGTCGATAACTCATGGCTTGATTACTGATATCTCATAGAAATATCACACTTGAATCACGTGATAATGTTCGTATGGAGCATGGCTAGAAATGATAAGACGTCGAGGAACGTGCATGTCATCGGATAGATGGCTTAGTAATCCAGCAGGTTTTTTTTTTATTTTAGTCGGCTATTCTTTGCTCATCACACGTTATTGAGTTTTTTAGATGCTCAACACACGTTGTTGAGTCTTGGGAATGGAAACGCTTCTGATAAATTAATTAATCATGTTTATGCCACTATAAATACACTATTTGTAAATTGACCCCATAAGAGGTCCAAAATTAGGCCAAATGTCACATTATAGTCCCATAAACTATCTGCAAATTGGTCCCATAAGTATTAAGTGCCCTGTGAACATCCTGATGTCCTACCTCCTTCCTCTCATCATAGTGGTTTCCAATTATCTACTGTATATTATTATTATCTGAAGTGCGTGACTATATATGTATATGCGGTTTTAGCAATTACAACATGTCAAATTTTTATGGCTTTGCCTTATCAACGAACCGATAATGATAACACTCATACTTATGATGACATTTTGGAACGGCTGTTTAAAATGTACAGTTTATTACCTGCCCATCTTGTCTTCTTCTCATATCCTGTCACATGTCAGGATGTAAACACCATTCCAGCTTCATAAATATGTCAGGATTTTCCGCTATTTTCAGTTCTCCCAAGTACCAACAGTCACTGCCGTTACTCAAAATCATGTCTTGTCAGGGAGACCTTAGCAAAATAGTCACATAGCTCGCATTGGCATTCCTCCAGCTATACTGGGATGGAGTGCCAACTCCGTCTCTCGGACTATGACATAATTTAGCACGGGCACATAAGAGTAACGTTTTATCCTTTTGTAGGGGTTGATTTGGCTGTCAACACTTCTCACTGTTTCGTGTGACTGTTATAAGCTTTATCGTTGTTACTACAATTCAGTAGCAGGACTGTCCGGCTCAGTGTTGTGTCGTTTGTGACTATTTCTACGATTTCGTTCTGGATGGAACATATAGAGCTCACTTCTCGACTTGAGCTGCTTTGTTTGGGATGGGTTGTGTCTATCTTCCTTGAGTATATTCCTGCATGACACTCGGTTACATGAAGCCCGACTATAGTTGGTGGCCCATCGAATTTCTTGGTCCATAAACAAGTGTCGCGTTACAAACACTGTATTGCCATTTTTAGAAACTAGACCTCTAGCGCGCCTCTTCCGCATTTTCCCCCTCTTCCTCCGGTGCCACTTAGTCTGACTTGGATATTAGCGGTGGACACATTTCGTGTAACTTTTTGTGTGCGATGTAATTTCCGATATCCATCCTGATCCTGGCCACCCTTTAGTAAACAAATGTACTAACTACTCGATGAAAGAACCGGTGCCTACACACAGTTTGATGTTACCGTGTGTGTGTTTGTGTGTGTGTGTGAGTGACGAATGTGGCTAATGAATTTGTGCTACTCTACTTTTTTATTACCAATTTCTTTTGTTCATCATTAGTCATTATTTGACAATGCATGTTACAATGCCACAGCATGGTATTGGACATTACGGATAACTCCATTCTACGCTATCTTCATTAATTTGCCCACTTCCATCCCATCATTGTACGAGGTCGAGAATTTAAAAATTTAGGAATTTACGTCATTGTTATTTGAATGAGCTTGAAAATGTTTCATTTCTGCTCCAATAGTGTTACTGTACACTGAGAGAGACACCAGGCAACTTAGTAAATTGATCACGCTACGTTTTTATGCGTCTGGCTTCAAAACTAATATATTGCTCTAGAATCCCATTAGCAAGGGATTGTTGGACCGTGATAAATCCGAATGGCGACCACGCCTATCTAGCAGTAAATTGATTGATATCGTATGCTCATTGCATGAACCCGCTATTATCGACCGAGAAAAAATAATGTAATCAACCCTACCTGAGACTCGTGATAGATCTGCGACACTTAATACAATCAGTTGTGAGGCGAGCCCTTCCTTCTTCCCCTTCCAAAATACAGCCTAGCATCTTGGTCTTGTTTCTCCAGAAAGACAGTTAGTGCAAACTTGTACGTTCTTGCAGTACAGTTTATCTTACTTTCTTTATCGTATAGCAGCAGTACAGCTTATGTACATTACTCATTACTCATTACTCATTGCTCGTTTCTTTTTTATTTTCGCTATAACTCATTTAACACGAGAGATAGCTGCTCCTTCAGCAATAATTGGGTGTGATTGACGCTTCAAGTTATTAGTGGCCGGTCAAATACTTCCTTAAGAGTAGATTACCATTTACCAATGAAGATAATGCTTCCCACTTAATAGACCAGCTACGTATTTAACTCAATTAAAGGTCTCAAAGCCCTATAAATGCTCATTACGACCCGCTATCGAGAGAACCGAAGGTTTCTCTTTTCCGGTTTTGATATCGGATATGTCTTTACCCCGGTGACATGATTTCTTTCAGTAATTTTTCGATCGGATAAGAATTTGTGATATGCGTAATATTATCCATATTTCATGTTTACATACTACAAATGTTTCCCTCATATATAACGGCAAACAGGATGTGTTCCCCAATTTAATGTTGTGTTATATTTATATATATTAGTAAATAATGTTCCAATTTAAATAACGGCGAACTATTTAACCATTAAATAAAATAGTTGTTAGTCTAACTAAAACATTTACTTGTCTGGGCAACACTTCGTTCGCCGAAATTACTCAGCATTTTTGTTGTGCCTTGTCACGTGATCACATAACTAGCGGAGGTAGTATCCTAGACAGCTCACTCACTGATCAGCTGATAACATACTAGATGAGCATTTAGCTGCTCTGTCAGATATCCGTCAACAATATAATTGTCTCGACTGCAAGAGATCGCCTTGTTTCTGCCTGACCGTAGCGCGAGTAACTGAGTAATTTACGCGTGTTCTTTATTGTCGCATATCGCCTTTTTGACAACTAACTTTGTGATTAAATATCAAATGCTTTACCTTTAAATGTCTGTTTGCAAATGATGTTTTATCATAACATTGACCATGGGTAAGATTGTGTTGTCTTAAAATGATTTTTAGTTTGTCGGGGTTATCCCATCGTTGCTACGGCCTAATCGAAACTGTCAAATGTTATTCCTTTTATAATCGATATGACACACTTTGTGAAATTTAACCCGCAACGCTCTATATAGATCCCCAACATGTCCTGTTCCGACTACATTTCACCCTCAAAATCTCCGCTCGACAAAATGAAAGACTTTAAAACACCTATAAGTATACCCGAGTTAGCTCGTCCGCCCACCACCGCACACGTTACCATGACTACCAGCAGTGGCGACGAGGAACTCCGACACGAACCACCCTGCATCCTAATATCCTCCGTTAAATACGATTACGATCCGGCGTCGTTGCTCGCCGTGAGCGATTCTGTTATTGGACCTGATTACGACCCCTCCCTTTATGACACAGTAGAAGTGGCTGCGAGCAGTGTAGTCAAAGATGATGAGAGGTAAATAGTGGTGACAAAATGGGGTTGCCAGAGTGGGAGTGCATGTAACATGGTGTTGTTGTTGTAAACTTGTTCTAAAAATATACAAAATTTACAGCCATCTTCCGGGGTCTAGCAGGGGCAGGGAAACCTGCCAAGTTGGTAACTATTTGTCCAGCTCAGGACCCGGATTTTAAACATTTGACCCCATCTCGGTGTCTAATTATGGCTGCTACTCAGCAACTCTGCAGCTGCCAGATCTAGCTGTGTTAAAACCTTTGGTAGAGCTAACCATTGCTAATCTTTCAGCACAAAGAAGACAGAAGATTATGATAGCGGTATAAGTTCTCCGTCCTCTGGCTCGCCCCCGGACGACTCCATCGATATCAAGATCGCTGTGAAGAAACGAAGAAGGAAACGTCGCCGGGGTACCACCCTTGCTGGGGCATCCTTCGAAGGTAAATTAGTTTCGTCATTAAATTCGGCACTGTTTAACATGGACGTGTTTGACGTTTGGTTTGATAGCCTGATATGCTATGGTATGGTGGCTTAACCCTGCCGAAAGTAACTCACTGTTAACGTTAACAAGTCCTATCCTCAATAAGTTTTAAAGAGTAATACTCATTACTCATGAATACTTATTATCGATCAACGAATAAAAGAAGTTATGTTGTAATGTCTGGTCGCTATTTATGACTACCATATACATCAAGCTTCTTTAACAATTCACCCGATTTTTAATAATATATTTTTCAGACTGCTACGAAAGAACAGGAAGGATCCTGGGTTCTGGAGCCTTCTCCCAAGTTGAACTATGTAGATGTATTAGAACTGGCCACGAATTCGCCGTCAAAGTAAGTACATCTACTCATTAATCTTATTAGATCGGTATATCGTGTTTAAGTTTCGGGTCTTACGTCATCCATGATCTGATACTATTGTTTAGTAGCTCACAGCCAGTAGCTATTGTAGCATCATAATACAAGTTTTCACACGTGTTCTCTGTTCAGATAATCAAGAAAGATACGTGGTACAACGGATACACCCGAGCCAGAGTTCACCAGGAAGTGGAGATATTGTACAGATGTACAGGTCACCCCAACATCGTTCAGCTCCAGGATTTCTACGAAGGAAAAGAAGAGTGAGTTTTCCATCTACATTTTCTTTCAAGCGCAGTGTCGCCATTTTTATTTATACTTTGTTTTTTGTTCAAGACGTAAAGCGAAAGTTTTTTGATAATTAATGTATTTGTTCTAGCAATTAACAAGTTTTTTTCCTAGGTTTTATTTAGTGTTTGAGATGATGAGAGGTGGAGCCCTGATCGATCACATCGAGAAGAGGAAAATGTTTAACGAGAGACAAGCCAGCACTGTCCTGTACTGTATTACATCTGCTTTGGAGCATCTTCACAGTGCAGGTATTATTTCCACTCTTCTGTTCGACACGTTTGCGCATTTTTCGTAGAGTTTTGCTAGTTTTATTTGCGTTAAAGTACAATATTTCGGCATTTGACGTTCTTTCTAGAATATAAAGCCCACAGTGCGGTCGTTTAGTAAAAACATTGCGCGCACGCGCGCGCATATTTTCTCTATCAAATTATTGTGTATTTGGCAAGTTCCAACTTTTACACTGTCCGCTTAAATTCAATAAAGAAATCAATTTTCTTATTCACTAATTTTCAGGTATCGCTCACCGAGACCTCAAGTTTGACAACCTATTGTGCAACGATCCAGACGACTTCACCCGAGTAAAGATATGTGACTTCGACCTAGGAGGACAAAAACTTGACATCCCTTATTTGTCCACTCCACTCTTGGACTCCCCAGTCGGCTCTGCTGAATTCATGGCCCCGGAAGTTGTTGACCTTTTCATTGGACACAAGAGCACATACGACAAGCGTTGTGACATGTGGAGTTTGGGCATCTCCCTCTACATCATGCTGTTCGGTCGTCCTCCCTTCACAGGAAGATGCGGCCTGAACTGTGGCTGGGATGACGGTGAAGCTTGTGCTGTCTGTCAGGAACTACTCTTCCAGAATATTACATACGGTCGAATCACATTCCCCCCTGAGAGCTCTGTTTCTGAAGATGCTAAAGACCTTATCAAGAGGCTTCTTGTTAAAGACGCACGAAAAAGGTAAGAAATCCTAAGCTAGATTTATTCAAATTGATCCATTTCAAAATTGTGTATATTGAATAACATGAAGAGGAATATACCGATCGGATAAGCTGACCATGTATTTCCTCAGATACACAGCGTCAGAAGTGTTAGCACATCCATGGGTGACCGGTAGAGGAACTGACAACGTCCTGGAGACACCGGCTAATCTCCGAAGGAACACACTGAGTGCAACAAACCTGGGAAACTTCGCTGCCAAGGCCAACGAGCATTACCGCTATCTCAACTCTGGTCTCAACGGCCTCACCGAAGCTCTTGACAACCTAAACATAACCCAACAACTAGAATTAGAAAGTAAATACATCTTGACTATTCTTACTTTGTGGACATGGTTTATTTTTCTTACCGAGCATTCAGCGGGTAATGTCACACACTGACCATCTTACACACCAGGCTTAGTCGTATTTTGGGGCCGGTCTTGCTTCATTGTGACTGGATGGTGTATTTTGGCCAGATACCAAAGTTTGCCACACTAATTACCACACAATGCGATAACGAGGGACTCATTCCTTAGAAGGGCTGTAAATAGGGGCGGTAATATATGCGGGCCCTCTAACCGCTCTAAATGTCGCATAATTTACTGTAATGATGAGTAGTAGGAAGTTTCTCTACTCTAACCTCTCTTGTTACCCTGCTGTTAGCGTAGCACTGTAGTATATCGGCCTCTATTACGTTTCCCAAATTGCCAAAAGGTCATTAAATAAGTACTTACTAATGAGTTCCGGGCATTAAGAAGCTGCTTTCCCATTGCACAATGCACATATGTTTGAATTTCCGGTTCTGAAATATATACAAAGGCCTAAGGCTTATATCATGTCATTAGCCTTTAACCAAAGCATGAGTCACTTATTGGGCTTTAATTGTATTGAAAGGTGACGGCATTTTTCAATAGCCAAATCACGTTATTCGCTAATCGATAGCACACATTCCTCGTTTTAAAGGTCATTAGTCGTTTATTCTTGAAGATTATTAGTCCACAAACGGCTTCTTTTGTTTCGGAATAATTATTAACACGACAAATTCCAAGCCTATAACAGTTCCATTCTCAGACGAAAAGAAGAAGGAAGAAGAGGAATCGACTCCGGAACTTACACCCACTTCGGAGAAAGCAGACTTCTTCATTTCCGACGAAGATGATTGGTATAACATTACGTAAATGTTTTTATAAAGTTTTGTACAAAATACATGCGGAATATAGCGCAACATATAAAGAACCTTGATATGGATTGTTACCAAAAAGGTTCCCTTTTGGTCGGTAAACCCATATTTCTATTTATTACAAGATGAAGTGTGTGTTCATTTAAGATTTTTGTGGTTTAATCAATTTTGCTTCACTATTAATTATATGATATCAAGTTAACTTATTCAAAATATTACCCTATTTATAGCAAGAAAAAAAATTGATATAATAGTTTTAAAAGTCCATAAACAGTAAAAGTATGCTATTAATTTTCCCTAGTTAAAGTTTCTATAACTTTTATAATGATACTGTTAAAAATAGTTTGAGCTTTCCTTTAATTGATCGTTAGGTTCGATATTTTGTCCGTTCTGTAGACTTTTTTACTGCATACTACCGGCAGCTGTTCATGTTGAAGGTGCTCTCATGCTGGTCATCCACACGTGCAATACCTTTCCTCGCGCGTCACAAGAACGGGGCGTGCGTGAAGGATGGTGTTGCACGTGCAGATATAACCGCATGATCGTGACTTGCCGCGTTTATCGCTGGGTTTGATTACCGTTGTCCAGGCCATTTGGTAGTGTGTTAGTTTTTAATAATGATAGATCCTAGATACCACCGTCGCTCAAGTTTGTGGCGACAGAATCTGGTGTATTTTTAAGGCCAGTGTAAGAGTGGACTATCGACCCATTTTTAGTTGTAGCGTAAATAAGCGCAGGTTTCTTCTGCAACCCGACTAAAAGTATCAGTTTTAATTTTACTGACTGTTCTTTTGTCATTTGCTGAAGAAACCCGTGATTAGAAATCAAATCAGACGCATTTTTGATCGATATTGAGCCTTTGAATTTCGCTTTATAAGTAGAAAACTTTTGGAAGTATAGATAGTTTTGCTTGTGCACCACATGCGTTATTGGCATGGTCAAAAAGTGCAAGTTGGATATCAATATCCACAGTATTTGCTAACTTTTTTAAGCAAACACTCATTGATAGAAACAAATGTTTTTGTTTCGAGTCGTATTTCAGAAAAAAAATTTTTAAAACATTTTGCTAATGTGTATGATGATGCAGAAAGGTAGGCTTCGTTTTATGTTGTCAAGAATTGTACCACGAACCGTTTCATTTAGTCGACAACATTGTTGTCGTCGTGACAATTTCTTGTCACCATCGCTGCCTAGCCGGAGTCAAGGCAGCATAAAACGAACCTTGCCACTTCATGGAATTTTTAAAATGATATTTGTATGCAATGTGTTTGTAGGTCGAACTCCATGACAATAATTGGCCTAAATTTTATATGAAATTTCTCATACACAGACGTAGGTGGTAGCACTGCTGGCATGCTGCAACGTCATTGCTTACCTTACCCCTCCAACTCAATTAACACATGATTAGTTGATTAGTAACCCAAGTTTGGGTTCGATCTCCTCTTTTTTTACTCTTATTACTTCAAAATAGTTTTGGATGGAGGGGTAATGTTTGCTATCTTGCCAAATGTTTTTGGTTGAATGTCAGACAAACATCTGAGAAATATCGTCAGATTTTTAACATCAAAACTGAAAATCGTCCCAATACTTGATATTTTAAATGAATTACTGTATTTGATTGTAGGAAGTATTGACTGAATGTACGATTGATCGGTTTTTGCTATTAATATGTGGGAATTTGAAGCACGTGCAGTATGGGACGTGATTTTCAGTTTTATTACGAACGAGTCTAGTGAGACTGAGGTATTTGATAAGCTCCAGAATTGAGCGATAGATTCGTCATGTGGTGATGTCCATGAGAATGCACGATTAAATTATGAAGTCCGTTGGATTGTTGAACGTGAGACAGTTTGGTTGTCTTTTTTATTAAATCCACGAGCAGCCAGGTTTTAGGAGCCTAACTAGATTATCCGCACTCTAAACTTTTTTGGCCATCAAACATGTGTGTTGAATATTTGCGTATCATATGTTATTTTAACGCATATGATTTCGATTTTGAACTTCTTGTTTGGGTGAATGGGTGCTCTACAATAAGTCTGGTTGCTCCGATGTTATTAGGGCTAAGCTCGTGGTTATTTTAACGGTTGACTATAAAATCGGTCCGGGTTAAAATACTTTTCATGTTTTAGATAACAGTGTGTTTTCCTAACTTTAATATCTTGTTACTGGAAACTTATTTGTGCGCGGCTCTTGTCACGTACATTTCACGAGATCGTCTTGACGACGAAAACGTCACCGTGACAACAGTCGTGCCACGTTCTTGCAGGACAGGAACGGCCCCGTCGGGAATCCGATCGGAATGTTACCATCTTGATCACCGTTAGGAACTTGGCGTGAGTTGGTTCACTCCTCGCCCAAGTTCCAGTGATCCATTTCACATCGGACCCAATCTGTGCTTTGTTTCGAAATTGAACAAGCACTTTTACAATTTTTTTCTCTTTTTGCAACATGTTGAAACGTGAAATCCTCCTTAGAAATAGGTTGCAAGGTTTGAAGAATGAAGCAAATATTTAGGTTTTCCCGTCGACTCGTTCTCCAAGTTCTACTATCACCTGTGAATGAGTGGAGGCGTGATCGACACTCTAGATAAATTTCTGTTTCATTATTTGAGCCTTGACAAACTCTGAGATCCTCGAATATTGTTCTTATGTTAATTTGTCTTGATTTGTTAAGAGTCCCCAGCTAATTGTTGTGCTCCATGTATTAAATCGCGGCAACAGGGAGAAAATATCTTGATATTTTAAATACAAGCTGGATGGTGCAATTGTTTGGAATTTGTGACATCTTGGCGGACGTTTAATCAAGTGTCGCGCTGGGGGCGTCTTCACACAGTGTCAATAGTGTAATTATTTTAGTTGTAGAGCCCCATTGCCCCTGTCGAGTATTGCTAATAATCGAATAAACTTTCCTTAAATATGTTGTGTTTTATTTTGACTCTCCTGCGCTGTTCGAAATACATAACTTAATGATCTATTTGAAGATTTAAAAGCAAATTAATATTATCCAAAAACAGCGAATTTTGGCCTTTGGGTCGAAGAAAGCTGATATTTGAAGATGGTCTACCTTGTACCACGTTGTGACACCCACGGTCGTTTCACTAGGTGAAACGACGTCCTGACGATACAGTGGGAGCCGCGCACTTCGTGCGCGGCGGGTCATACAACGTATGACAAGGTCTACCGGTATTGGGTATAGTAGGACATTTTCATAATTTTCCTTTCATCAAAGTTTTCTCCGAATATTCAACTTCTATCACCTCGATGGTGACTTGTGTCAATCTCACTGATCGGATAAACAGGTTAAACATCCGATCAAAACTGTGAAACTTCAGCCAAGGAAACAGCACAAAAACTTCTATTTAAAAATATTCCAAAGTGTATCCTATGACCTATTCTGTTGATTTACCGTTTATCAAAGCTTTCTTAATGGGACTAGTACCTCAATCGTGTCTTGTGACACCCTCAGTGACTTAGCTAGATGGTCATTCAAGAAAAATTCAGCCAAAACTGAAATTTGGGTCGTGGAAAACAGAAATTCGAAAATGTCCTTCCGGTAGTATAGGACATTTTCAAAATTTTCATTCCATCAAAGTTTTCTCCGGATACACTGCTTCAAGTACCTTGATGGCGACTTGTGTCACTCTCACCGACCTCACTGATTGGTCACTGGTCAAAATTTCAGTCAAAACCGCGAAATTTCGGTCAGGGAGACAGCAGAAAAGCTTCTCTTAAACATTAAAATCTTCCAAAATCTCTTTTTATATTTTAACGGGTGATACTCGTAAAATACCTGTTCCATATATTGACCGTCGACGAGTCCAATTCGGCGCGCGTCCTGCATGGTAGGTTGTAAACCTACAATTTATATTCTGATGATTTTCCGTTTATCAAAGCCAGTCCTCCCAGCCAACCTCGAAAACCTTGAAAACCTTGAATTCTGCTATTTTAAATCAAAAACCTTGAATTTTCACAAAAATGTTTGAAAACCTTGAATTTCAACTAAAAATTTACAAACATTTCGCCTCCGCGCTCCGGCAGTTTTCTAGCTTAAAATCACAGTATTGGCCCCCCCCCCAGTCCAGGAAAGCTGCGCGTCATTAAATTAAATATGGTACCTAAGCGAAACTTTCACATAGCCATGTGTACACGCGAACTGCGTGACGCAAGTATTGCGTTCTGATAAGAGCAAAGCGAAACTCACTGATCATCCTAAATTAACATAAAAAGGTATGAAAAATTTGATGATGTGAAAAAGTTCACACTCTTGACTTTGTAGAAAACAATTAACCACGTAACGGGTGATACTCTTAAAATATTTGTTCCAAATTGCAAATATTATACTGCCGACGAGTCTAACTAAAAGCATGAACAGCTCAAATATCGTTTTACAAGCGTTCTATAAGCCTGTCACGTGTGCTTGTCTGAAAAATATTTGACGGATGTTTTGATTAACGATGTCAATCCTTCGCATTTCGCCGATCTGCATACGGTTGCGAGAAGATGCGCGGCGCGGCCCAGTAGTGCATAGCGCTACAAACGGATGTTACTCGTCTAATTTTCTTCGAAGTAGCGCGCGCCGGGCCAGACCATTAACAATAGTCAAATAAATATGGTTATTTGCTCATAACTCGTCAAAAATAGCTTATGTGTAGTAGCTCTTATTTGAAATCAGTGTAAAATACATTGATATACTCACTTTCACAATTCTACGTAGCTTACTCATAAATCATGAAAAAAGTATAAGCATCTAAGAAATCTAATCACGCCCATTTTGGTAGGTTATAAACTTACAAAAACAACAAACAATGGCAAATGGTACACAAATTTTGTAAATTCGAGCAAGTCTATTTTTATCGTGCATTTCTTACTATGTACTAATATTTTATGCCCACGGCCCTTTTGTAAAAATTAAAAATTAAAAAATTTTTGAGTACGCTTTAAACTGACAAATCCTTGCTCTAACCAGAGTCCTGATTTCGCTTATAGTTGCACGCGACCGCCGATGAATTCTACTTGTGAAACAATTACTGGGCCCCGCTCAGCCTGTCATTCCGCCGAATTCTCTAATCCGCCGAATCTCTATTGCAATTTATGTTTATGAACATGGAACATAATAGCCTGGGGTCCCCAGGTAAGAAATATCAAATATAACATATAATTTTGAGCATTCAATCATATCATATAGTCAATTGCTATATCCAGAGCCCTTTCGCTTGCAGTAGCACGCGACGCGTAGACTCATGGCTAGGTTGTAGGTAAAAATAATCAATATTGGGATTTTTATTAATCGTATCAGTCAACAGTCAATATAATAGAAGGATGCCGCGCAACGGATCAGGCATACAAAAATATTTACTAAATGTTTTTCTTAAACCGGCATCTTGTATTGGTAGTTGGTCACCTTAAATCTGAGGAGTATACCATTCACGTAACGCACATCACTTTCAAATATTACTGAAAGTGTGATTCGCCATGATCATGAAATGAATTTTAGTTATTTCAATTCATCATCTAATCTTAAGTTGGGTGTGAATATTCCCCCAAGACACACAGTGTTGGTGAACGTTTCTTCTTGAATAATTTCTAACAGCAATGAGAAACGTTGTCCTTCAATTGTTCCCTGCTGATGGACTTTCACTCAAGTTGAAGAGATATTTCAGCAACATAAGTTAGCTTGAACTGACTTCCGATGCCTTCGAAGCTAATATTTTGCTCTTAATGCATGATCGTATATCGCGATCGTTTTTCTGCTTGCAATAATTTCAGACCTTCTTATTTATCACCTCATCCACATGAAGTCAATAACATTAGACTATCGTTCGACTTGGATATTGTTAACCAGAAATGTCAAATTTTATCAAACTCGAAAATCCTCGGACATAGGGTCGTGTTTTTTCTTGTTTAGCACCTCTGTAAGATTCAGATTCTGTTATTTTTTACGACCACTGCTTAATTGTATAAAAAAATGGTCTCAAATCCTCTAAGTCCTGGGCGTACTTTTTTCCGACATTGCCCGATGCCTTGGTGCTGCCATCGAAATCAAAGTCTTAATTAAGGATCGAAGCTTAACCAATTTAAATTGTAAGTTTAATTCAAGAGTTGCGACACAACTATTACCACCTTATATGAATTCTTCCTAATTCCCTACGTTATCCCTACGTTCACATTCTTCGTCTCTAGCAAATAAATTTTGAGATCACATGTAGTTTTTATTCTCTTCATCCAGGGTAAGTTCATTCAGGGTTTTTGATTGAAATAAATTTTCGTGCACATACAGAATGAATTGTTAATAATTTAATATATATGTAGACCAAGCTCTGTGCACGGGATGCTTCCTGGAAGAATCCAGTTCCTTTAGCGGGGCACCCTATCTAAAGCCAAATTGAGATATAATAATCATATTCCTAGGGAAATAATCAGAAATCGAATACCAATCAAATAATATGATATATAGGAGTAGTAACCGGGTAAGTTTATCCAGGGTAAGTACATACAGGATAAGTACACTCCTATAGTTATTCTACCGTTATGGATAAAGTGTTTGTTCTCAATCAAGGGTTCACTTACCCTTGTCTCAGCGTAGGGAGGTAGCCAAGGATTCGCTAGATGTATTTTAAGTTACACATCAGTGTAATGTCTCTTCGGTTACTTACTTTGGATACTTTGGAGAGATTCGTAGATTCCTCAACTGGGTCATCGAAAAGTTCGACCGCCCTTGCAGCATCGCTGCTGCCTTATTCATACTCCAGTCCAGCAAAGAATTTCCATTAGGGCAGCTGAAATTGCTCACAGGTGGGTTATCTGGAAACGGTTTAAGAAATGCTGATAGTTTTGCTTTGAACAGCAGTGGGTCTTCAATGAGGTGAAGATCTGATGGAATGGTGTTCCATAAACGTGGCCCCATTACTGCAAATGAACCATCATACAATGACTGTTGACGTTGAGTACTGCTCTTGCTGAGACTTGGAATGGTGGCCTTGATTCCGTGTCTTGATGGAGTAGAAAAAAGAATCCCAAGGTCATTTGGGCAGCGTTGATGTAAGATTTTCCACATGTGGATGATAATATAACGCTCTCTCCTCCTTTGCATCGACATTAGATTTAGTGCTTGGAGCCGCTGCCAATAGTCAAGATGTTGAACACCCCAAATCCTTGAGGTGAAAGTACGCTGTACTCCTTCAATCTGTTGGATGTCTGAGATTTTACTGGTATTCCACAGAGGGCAGCAGTACTCTAAATGACTTCGGATAAGTGACTTGTAAAGTGTCAACATTGTTATTCTATTTCTGCACTTGAATGCACTGAGCACCCAGGCTGCCACTTTTCTAGCTCGAGATGCCATAGAACTGACATGATGTGACCACGACATATCAGAAGACACTATAACTCCCAAGATCCTTAACTTGGTCTGTAGGATAGAGCATATTACCGCCTGACACCTTGTATGTTTGTGTTTGACATACAAAAGGCAGCTCATACAGACTCTCATTAGGATTCCCCCGGTGAACTAGGAGCTCAAACTTATCCTCATGTAAAACCATGTTATTACGTTTGGCCCATGCAATGACATGGTCGAGATCTTGCTGAAGAACGATAACATCCTGTTCTGTATATATGTGCTTCAGTATACGGGTGTCATCAGCAAAGAATCTTATAATTGAACCAGTAACACAAAGCTTCATGTCATTTATGAAGAGTATAAAAAGGAGGGGTCCAAGAACGGTTCCTTGGGGGACTCCACTGATAACCAAGGCTGCGAAGGAAGACACCCCGTTCAGAACAACATGTTGATGACGGTCCGACAGAAACGACTCCAGCCACTTAAGAATCCTTCCGTTAAATCCATACTTTTGCAATTTATCAATGAGAAGACGATGATCCACCTTGTCGAAGGCCTTCGCAAAGTCTAGATATA